TGGCGAGAGCCAGCGAACCTGCGCAGAACAGAACCACACTCTGTCCCTCCTTCACCATTCCACTATCCACCAACTCTTGAACATCCAAATCAGTACAAATAGCATCAATACATGTTACCCGACTATTCTACGGCGTTATTACTCAGTTCCAACCGATTAAATCATCAATCTACCGATTAATCCAACATTTGCCCTAATTGGAAAGTGATGAAAAACATCCACAAACCCAAACCCAACATACATAATAGCATACAATGATTAAATAGCAATGTTTCTCACCCTTACCTCGATTAATCGGAGCTTTGATGTTGGTTCTTGATGATTTTCCACTTTCCTCTTCTTCTCCTCCCTTTCTCTTCTTCTTCCCTCTTTCTCTTCTTTCTTTCCAAATGTTTTTAACTTTCTTTTCTTTTCTTCCTCACTTATATTTCCTTTATTTTCCTTCCTTCCAATTTCCTTCTCAATTCTCTATTAATTCCAATTAATAAAAATTAATTCCAATATTAACATAAAATCCCACTAAATCAATTAATTACTACAATTAATTATTTAATGAAATTTGGGCTGTTACAGGAGCGGCCTCGGAATTTGTCGAGCATGCTCATTTTGCCGGAGTTGTTCGCGATGAGTTCGTCGAATTTTCTTTTTCACGGATCCGATGGACAGACTCCTCGTGGCTCCATCAGAGATGACCATGGCTCTGGGGAAGTATTCCCACCGGCTGGTTGGTCGGATTGGCTCGTCGATTAGGTCGGGCCCTTCGGGGAGACCGAATTCTCTGCCCGCGAACCAATCCTCGGGGCGGCTGACACACAACGCGACCTGGAGCCTGCTGTTGTCCTCTGGAGAGGGAAGTTCCTCGACTTTCTTAGCTTCTGGAGCCTCTTGCCTAGGTGGTTCGCCTCCTCGGGTGTATCTCTTCAGGTGACCGTCTTTGATCAGAATTTCGATCGCATCCTTGAGATGGATGCAGTCTTCTGTCACGTGCCCGTAGCTCCTGTGAAATCGGCAATATTTCGATTTGTCCACGTTCGGTTTGGGGGGTGTTGGTCGCGGGAAACGGACACCTCCCTGTACGAATTCTGTTTTGGCGCATTCGGCCAGTATGCGCTCGCTGACTAAGGCCGTGTATTCCGTGAATCGGCTGGCAGGGCCACGCGGTTCACGTTGTTCGCGGGGCTCGCGGGGGCGGTCTTCGCGATGGCGGTCTCCCCCCCGTCGATGGCTCGAGGCTCCGTCGTCTCGGTGCCCGCGGGGGGCCTCCCGGTCTCGGGTGTCTCGAGCGGAGTTGGCCGCTTGGGTTTCTTCAAATCGGATATAGTGCGCGGCCCTATCGAGGAAGTCTTGGAGTGATGTTGGTCGGTGTATGCCCACAGCCTCGTAGAACTTGGAGTCGTGGCGCAGACCTTGCTCCATTAAGTAGCGTTTCATCTCGTCTGACGTCGTCACCTGCACTGCTTCTCGAGTGAATCTCTCGATGTACTTCCGGAGAGGTTCGTCGGGGCCCTGGATGATCGCCCCGAGGACTGCTTCCGTCTTCGGGTGGCGTCGGGACGCCGTAAAGTGTTTGGAGAACAGGTCCTTCAAGACCCTCCATGACGTAACTGATTCGGGCTCCAGACTTTTATACCAGGTCATAGCGCCCTTCCTCAGAGTCGTCGGGAAGAGTCTGCACTTGATGGCTCCCCGGACGTTTCGGTAATCGAGCATGGCCTCGATATCCTCTAGGTGATCGTCCGGGTCGGTCGTGCCGTCGTACGTCGACAGCGTCAGGGGTTTCTCCATCCCTTGGAGTATGGGGGCAGCCATGATTTCTCGGGACAGCGGGGTGCGGTAGTCGTCCTCGTCGATGGGTTCCGTTCAAATTAGGCCCATGGTTTCGGGTTCTCGTCCTCCTGCCTGGGTTGTCGCCTCGAGGATCCCCGGTCGGGATCGCCGCAGTGCTCTGATTCCTCTCGCGAACGTGCCTTGTTGGGGATCTGGTGCGTTCTCGTGCCACCTGTGTGCGGTGCCTCTCCAGCTGCGGCCGGCGGTTTCTGGGTTGAGGTGAGGGGCTCCTCGAACCTCCGTTCTGGTCTTCCCGCGGGGGGTACCTCGGAGGACCGATGCGTTCTAATGCTCCAATTCTCGCATTTTGTTGGAACAGCAGCTGGTTCGTCTGGTTGATGGCCGTAAAAAGGGCGGTCACTGTTGGGTCCGCTCCCGCCGGGATGGGAACGGGGTGGAATGCTGGCGGGCTCGGGGGCCGGTGGTCGACCTGAAGGGGCCGCTCCGCGGATGACGGTGAAGCAGTTTGGCCGTCCCTTTCGTCGGTTTCCGCCGGACGCGTCGTTCCTGTCTGCTTGTTTCCGTTGGTGGCGACGTTGAGCACGAGGTCGTGCGGAGGGCCGTCGCGGTGTGGACTAGCCATGATCGTGGAGGTTTGGTGAAACTTTTGGTTTTCTGCTCGGAGTAACGGGGAAGTTTCAGTTTCCCACAGACGGCGCCACTGATCTGACCT